TTTCTATTTCTAGTTATATGTATTTTTTCAATGCTTGAATACACTGTTTTACGAGGATATCATGGATCAAGCGCAAAATAGAGAGAGCTGAACCGCAGCAACGCTATTTGACAAAATTAACCCATTGGCTGGTCATTTCATCATGAAATGATTTGATGAGTGTTAAGGAATCATGCATTATACCTGAACGACGACGAGTTTAGGTAGGTTCTGCTGTACGCTTGCAAAGCAGACAGAGGGAGTTGAAGAATGAGCTTGAGGCCTCTTCCATCATTTGTAAATCATTTGGCTGACAGGGTCTTCGAAAGAGACGCGCTGTTTCTGATACTGTTCATTCGGTCCGGGGTGGGAAGAGACAAGCATGTTCTTGAGACCTTGTACCTCACGCTTGAGATCGTCAAAGTCTGCAGCAAGGCCTTTCAGCGTGATTGAGCGCCGCACATCCTTGTTCTTTCTCGCCCTGCATCCATCTATCAGCGAACCTCTTGTATATGAAATCAGATTGTACAATCTGAAATCGAAGTAAATGAGGCAGGGTAGGCAAAAAGCATGCGAGGACGGTGTACTGACTTCATTCGCCTGGAAGGTCTGAAAATAGTTGGTTAGAACATCGCAGTCGATGAAGCACACGATAATGGAGGTGGTCACTTACTGCTTGGTGGAGAGTACGCGACTGTGCAGGCTGCTCGATGGCTGCTCGATGGCTGCTCGATGGCTGCTCGATGGCTGCTCGATGGCTGCTCGATGGATGATCGACAGTCACTGATTCTTGACTATGTTCGATTGACTCTCCGAAGCGGCGCTCGGTCCGAAGTTGATTCTCTCTGCCGGCTGGTACTCCCTCAGTTTTGATCTGCATTGAGGCAGCGTGTTCGGATTAGCGTTCATTCCCAGTCCGATAGCGAAGATCTGGTTCTTCTAACATGTTCACAACTTATGCGGTATATATTTGAGGCTGGTGCTACGGACTTCGATTATCCGCATGCAGCAATCCAGTCGTTCTGCGAGTTCGTCAGAGCTTGGAAGGGAAACAGAATTTGTCACGAGTGGTACTGTAGAACTTCCACAGAAAAGCCAACTCTAATTTATACTTCAAGCGGGTTGAAAATTTGATTGCGAGACTTTGCTAAGCCAAGGAACATTGTTTTTGTGTCACTTTGTGCCCAACAATTGCGGACAGGGTATGAACACAAAAGATGTTGAACTTTCACATATGTGCATCCATGGGAACCAAGGGTGTTACTTCATGGCGAAGCGAGCCCACCACGGGCACGATCAAGCATGAACATCTCTCACAAAGTCCAGAACATTATTTTACCATTATCGAAAGGTTGAATCATCTTCCACAAGACTCTGACTCATAGCCGGATTAGGTGCCACCCTGTTGAGCGATTTAATAGCAAAGTCAACGATTTGTAAGAATCATATTCTTGCGGTTCGGATCTCTTCTCAACAGTTGATGAACGTTGTTCACCACACCCGACGCAGGATTTTGAGAGAAATGATTCCAGGACAACACTCGACACTGTAGGCCACGGAGTCTACGGAAGCCGTTTCAACGTCGTTCACATTGCGTCAACGCCCATCAAATGCGCAATTCTCGCTACCATCTGCACATCTGGTTCCTTGGAAGAGATGCAGCCGAAAAGGTATAAAAGAGGCCCAATTCCCAGCCCAAAAAAAATCAGGACTTCACTCCTCACACTCCGATGTGTCATGGTGTCCCTCTTGCCCACGGGCTTGAGAGTCTCCATGGCCACGGCTTTCGCTGCCACGAGCCCAGCGATGTAAGACTTGTGCTCCCTCACAGCCAATGAGCCCTGTGACTGTAAAAATGTGCTCCCTCACAGCCAATGAGCCCTGTGATTGTAAAAATGTGCTCCCTCACAGCCAATGAGCCCTGTGACTGTAAAAATGTGCTCCCTCGCTGCCCTGAGCCCCGCGAGTGTAAAGATGTGCTTCGCAGGATAGGTCTGCGTCAACAACAATCCTCGTAGGGGGATGCTGCGAAAACAAGACTACCTCGCAGGATAGGTCTGCGTCAACAATATGCCTCGCAGGGGGTGCTGCGAAAACAAGACTACCCCGCAGGATAGGTCTGCGTCAACAACAATCCTCGCAGGGACATCTGCGACACCAAGAGTCTCCGCAGGGACATCTGCGACACCAAGAGTCTCCGCAGGGACATCTACGACACCAAGAGTCTCCGCAGGAGACCGCTGCGATACCAAGTTCTCCCTCACAGCCTTGAGCCCTGTGACTGTATAATCTTGAGCTTCCATGCAGCCTTGAGCCCTGCGTTATCAAATTTGTGCTTGTTTAGGAGTCCCGTAGCGCCGTGGTGCTCGTCCTGCTCCTCTGACGATGTGCAGGCACCTCTTCGTGGTGTCAGAGACTAGTATTCGAATGTGCAACAGCATTCGATGAAGCAAAGACCTGCTCAGCATCTTCATAATCTGTTTCGTGTCGCAAAGCACCAAAGCGTAGACAAAATGAGAAAATTGTTCCCAACATCAACCACCAAATCAATCCAAGCTAGGATTCATCTTTAGCGACCCGTATTGCCACTCTGTATGCCTTCTCCGCGGTCGGCGATCCGTTTGCTGCATGTAAAATCGTATGATTTTGGTGTAGAATGCATATAGATTTTGCGCTGGGGGGCTATTTTGATAGGATGTTGTTATACCAGTGTGAAGTGAAAGTAGACATTTTGAGTTTGTGTGTTGACGTGTTGACGTGTTGATGTCGGTGTGGTGAAATGTGCACTAATCGGGCGGTGAAGGGACTGGTGATCAACGCACATGCAGGTTCGTCACCCTCCGCTTGTTCGAGAAAGCCACACTGGGTGCGCAGGGCAAGTTCGCAAGACGGAAAATGCGGGCGATGAACCTATCCGTGCTAGGATTTTACGATCATATTGGAGGACTCTGTCGTTCAGTGTGCGAAGGCGGTGAGGTTTCTCATGAATGAAAGGTTCGTTAGTCACATCTTAATTGAGGCCAATTGAAACCCATCTCTACTATTTACTGCAAGTACAGTATTCGAAGCGAAATTTTTGTACTGTGCATTCGCTTTACATATGTCATTCTCAGCTCTCATACATATCTTCTGGGGGTCGTTTTTTGATTTATGGGCTACTAGTAAAGAGCCAAGGGCAGACGCGGATATATATTATTGATGTTTTGCTGAGACTACAGTACGCATGTATGACGTAACGAAGTCAATCAGCCTCGTCAATAGTCGCAGAGATTGCCTTCATGAGTATACTCTTGTCAAGTAAAATAATACTTGAAGATCCGACTACGCGCTCTGCCGGCTATGAAGCTCTGATGCGCGATAAATGACGCAGCGCCGGTTCCTGCACGGGCCTTTGTAGACGACCTATATGATCTGCCTATCACGCAATTGGAAATGCCAGTTGAGCTCAGAGTCGTTCTGTGACACGTGAGGTCAAGAGTATTGATTTGCGTTCTGGTCCCTAGCCGATTAATCTCTACGAACCACGTCTGTATGCCATGTAGGTTTTATTTTGATGTACAAAGGCTTTATCCTACCAGAAACGCACAAGCGCATGTTCTGATTCCGTTCCAGAGCGCCCTCGAGCCGGGGGTGCCCCCCAAGGCGACGGGCAAGATGCGTTGACCCATGGACTAGTTTGTCGCACCGACCGTTCACATTTGCATGACACTGCTTTGGAATAGTGGACTCAATTTCAATTCCAGCACCAGCAGAATTTTCTGTTTTATCAACAATTGTAGGCCGTATTGTGCCCATTGGGTGCACTGAGCACGATCAACACACCGACGGCCTCGTTTCTAGTACGAGACACTCCTCATATTTGCTTTTATTGACGACAAATCCAGTTGCAAGGCGTACTGAACCAGCATTAAAGTACTTAACTTATCAGAGAAAATGTGGCCCTAAGATCCCAGCACAAACCAGATTCAAGGCGCCATACGCTGCACGTCATGCTCGATACTTTGCTCAAGGCAGCACACCTAGTGCAGAGTAATCCACAGAATCAGATATCACAAACTATGTAGTAGCATGATAGTTTCTTGGGACGGGCTAGGTCTACCGCCATTTCAAGCCTTGTTCTACAGTATCATGGCGCAGAGACCATTGTCATGAACGATCTGAGTATTTCGTAGTGGCTGCCACGGAGGAGAGCCTTGAAGTGGGTCAAAGCGTTCAGCGTCAACGACAGCTCGTCGTACAGAGGGAGGAAGGCGATAGTACTTCTCGTGTATCATACAAGAGATGGGAAGGCGTCCAAGATTTACAAGCACAAGGATCACATGACAGAGTGAACGACGGGATCTCAACGGACAGGAAGGGGTGCATCACGGGCGGCGAAGATGTGATTCATGCAAATGGACGCGATGGAATAAGACTGGAATCCCAATAATAAAGGGTGAAACTAGCCGAGGGATGAGCAATTTGAAACGTGACAATAAAACGGCTGGGATAGGGGTCTTGCCCGTCGCCTTGGGGGGCACCCCCGGCAATTGGAAATTGCCTCGCCGACCCCCATAAAGGGGGTCTGTGGGGGACCCCGCCCCCCGGCTCGAGGGCGCGTTAAAGCTGAACCAGAATATTCGCTGCAACGCCTCTCACAAAGAGCGGGGTCTGTCCCCACAGCCTTGAGAACTTCATGGCCGCTACGTAGAGCAAAATGTGAGCTTTCCGAACCGGATGAGCAGTCAGATGCTCTACCTCTCGATCTTTAGCGTCGGATATTCCGATGTCCATGTGTCGACGGAGGTTGACTGAACCCGCATTTGGGCTCCACGCTCGTATGCCTTGAATTTTCAGCGGGCGCATTCGGGTACGAGCGGCTTCACGGACGAGTTTGTAGGGCCAATCAAGGCTGAGATGATCACCGTATGCCTCGCTGGATGTGCAGGTATCTGTCCTGCATAATCTCCTTACGGTCTTGGTATCGGGGTATGGAGACAGCATCTACTGCAGTAGATATCCATACCATCAGGCGGAACAAATACCCACGCCACAAGGCTATCAGCTATCCCCTGTAAATCTTCAAATTCCGAGAGACAGACCACTATACACTCCTTCGGGTCTAGATCAGATAGGCATAACAACTGACCTGACTGATCAATCGCCTCAAAGGTCGATTTGGGGACTCATTGGTGCCAGCAGTAGTCTTGTAGAAGACACAGGCCATGTAATGGTGCCGGCAAGGCCGAACAGACACGCAATTTCCTCGCTTCGCATTCGAGTCATGGGAATCCGAGCGTTGCCTGTAATCAGATCAGAGTTAGCCAATCTTGATTCAGTTGAACGAGGAAATGTACTTTACGTTGTTGATGAAGACGTCCCTGGTGATCGACGGTATGCTTCAGACAGTCGGTCAGTCAGGATCGTCGTCATACCCATGTCTCTTGTGCAACGCTGTCATCAATATGCCGCGTTGTATCCAATCAGTTTGTTTGGGAAAGCCACACTAGGTATGTAGGGCAGGCTTTCAAGACGGAAAACGCGGGCGACAAACCTATCTGTTTTATGATTGTACAGTCGTATTGGAGGACTCCTTGTAGAGACACACCGTCGTTCAGTGTGCGATCGCGGTTGAGGTGGAGACGCGATGGAGCGCGTCGGCCCGCAGTTTTATCTCACTTGGCGGGAATAGCTTTTCTCGTGACAAGAGTTTCCGCAGTTGGTGATGGGCTTCTACAATGGCATGCTACTGTCAGTGATTTTCGTGTTTGTGGCACAAACTTGGCACAAGGCATCGGACTTGACGCGGCCAGTGGCGTGATATTCAACTCACCTTATCGTGGACGACGAACGTCTAGAATTTATGCATCATGTTCTTGGCCCATGACCTTGGTTGGCGGG